TTTTTTTTTTTAATTCCTTTTGTTGCCGGGTTTTATTGTTGGGAGTTGTGATGATTCATGTAGATTGTTGACATTATATGCAAAGGATCAATTGCCCATTAGAAGATCTGACGAGTTCAATTTGATTGAAATCTGGTTCGTATCAGTTATTTTGCATTACATGATGGTTTCTGATTTCTTGCTGTTGTTCCTTTCATAAATGATCCTCCCTCCTATTTTCATTCTTTGTTGTTTTGAGAAGCAACACACTAATTAAGAATTTTTGTTCTTGTCAATATTAACCATATTGGATGTTGTGGAGAACTATGGAGATTGGATATGAAGAGACACGGTACATTGATGAAAGGTTAAAAATAGAAGAATATGAATAAAATAACCAAAAACTACATTTATTTAACCAATGATTTATTAAGTCAAAGTCACAAAGAATAAAAGTAGGAAGGAGTATGTGTTATAAGTTCAAACATTTGGTCATAATAATCAGACCAACTCTAGAGCTTGGTCAGCCTCGAGCCTGGAATAACAATTGAAAATTGGTTTAACAAGATTGATAGAGCAGAATATGAGTTGCCAGGCATATATTCATAGGATAAGATGAGGTAACATTCTTTAACCAACCCTTTGGATAATTCTTTGTGTCTATATGGCAAATGAGCACACACCGTAACTGACATGATAATCTTGAGGGAGATATTTTATCCCAACACAAAAATGGCCTTTTTGTCCAAAAAAAAAAAAAAAAAACCACATGTATAATGTCCATTATACTCTTGAATGTTCAAATAACTACAGATTTAGTAAAACTTGACTTATGGGACAAAAGTTGACTCATGAAATTACACCATCTTATCAGCCCTTCAAGTAAATGAGGTCTTGTATAGTATCAAGATGAAACCTAGATATCCCAAGAAAAGAAGTATCGTGAAAACTGACTCATGGGACAAAAGTTGACTACACATATCTCAGCCCTTCAAGTAAACGAGGTCTTGTATAGTATCACGATGAAACCTAGATATCCCAAGAAAAGAGGTATCATGAAAACCGACTCATATGGGACAAAAGTTGACTCATGGGATTACACCATCATATCTCAGCCCTTCAAGTAAACGAGGTCTTGTATAGTATCACCATGAAACCTAGATATCCCAAGAAAAGAAGTATCACGAAGAATGCCTTGTTAGCATCATCTCACAAAAAAACAAGTTTTGAAAGGAAACCTTCGCAAAGGGACCAAGACAGTGTAATGTGTTATGTGTGTTATATATCCTATATGTAGTACATATAAATAATATCCCTAGTAAAGGGGAATAACAACACTGTTTACAACAAGAGAACAAAATTTCTACTAAAAATAAAGGTAAAAGTTCCACTAAGCAAAACCATTTGGCCTCTCGCAACCCTTGGAAGATCTCTTCTGTATATCTGCTTCATAGTGTGCGAAAGCCGCATCCAGAGCCTACACAACCAACAAAATGTTGAAGTCATAAAGCAAAGTACTAAATTTGAAATGTTGAGTAGAGACATTTCTCTAGGATACATGTGAATTTGAGTTGAACAGTATTTGAAACCTGAAGCATTGGCTGAACAAGAAGAGAAACCTGATGCCTGACGTCAGACTGCACGGATTCTTTTATCTCCTGACATAAATGAAAAGGAAGGTGAGAAAATAGGTATTATTATGTTGGGTAAAAGTAGCACATTCAGTACGAAAACACATGCCTGCAACTTTGGATATACTTGGGACATCGCGTCCTTCAATCTGGTCACCTGTTAGTGGATCGAAGTATTTAGAAGAGCAACTGAACAAAATAGAAATATATGACACAACATTGCCATCTTTTGACCAGTATAATCCCAAGAAAATATTTACGCTTATTCAACCACAAGGTTCAGCCTGAAGAGAGAAAGAAAATAGAGATCCAACTATACTTTCAAAGAGATTTGTATTTACTTCAAAATAGGACCCATCAGTGGTGGCCTTAACTTCTGAACACAAATATTATGGCGAGTACTTGTGATTTCTGCAAGATGGGTGAATTCTTTTCTTAAGAGTACTGTGTGTTTGGTTAACATGTTAAATTGATCGTGACTAAATATCAACGTTTTTCCTGGGGTTATTCATGTGAAATATCTATGCTATTACTGTGCCTGGTTGTTTCATCGGAAATGAGATGTATATGAAGAGAGAGAGAGAGAGAGAGAGAGAGAGAGAGATGCCAATTCATAGGGGTATATTTATCATGACACGAAAGACAAACTTTCACATATTGCACTTACATTGTGCAGAAAACTCTTTGGTTGAGGAATTATCGAGCATCATAAGTCGGACCTTTTTTTACGTTCTTCCATAATCCAACATTTTTTAGCATTTTGTAATTTTGGGGTTAAAAATTGTAAAACTAGCTTAATATAGATTGGACTGGAAATTGTATCCTTAAAGAAATTATTTGACATAACTCTGCCTATGTTGTCTCAGCATAGCAGGTCCCAAGCCCTGGTAAAGGAGGAGGGTTGTGATAGGCTTGGCGAGCCAACGTAAAACCTAGCCATTCTATGGAGATGAAACACAATAGATATTCGCTGGGGCGTAACCCTCTTAGCGACCCACCATATCGGAACCCAGGTATGGTGTCAAATGGGCAAGGGCCGAGTCGTCTCCCCCTCAGGGACGCGCCATGTCGTGGTTTGGGCATGGTGTTAAGTGAGCAAGGACCGGGTCGTCATTTCCTTAGTGGCGCGCTACATTGGCGCCCGGGTGTAGTGGAAAATGAGCAAGGGCCTTTGCATCTCTCTCGACGGGTGCGAAGGGCAAGGAAGCTAGTCGAACCAACTAGGGTCCGGATAGGTAGTTGGAACGTAGGGTCCCTAACGGGTAAGCTATGTGAGCTAGTCGATGAAGCTACTAGGAGGCGTGTAAATATCCTATGCGTCCAGGAGACTAATGGAAGGGCAGAAGACGAAGGCGAAGGAGGTGGAGGATACTGACTTCAAGCTTTGGTTCACTGGGGCTTCATCGAGTAGGAATGGTGTAGGTATCCTGATCGATAGGAGCCTTAAGGATGGAGTGTAGATGTTAGGAGGCAATACGACCGGATTATCCTAGTCCGATTGGTAGTTGGGGATGTGACCATGAATGTGATCAGTGCCTATGCCCTTCAGGTAGGTCTTAGTGAGAGCGCCAAGAGGCAATTCTGGGAGGATCTGGACACCATGGTCAGTACGGTGCCTGCCAGCGAGAAGCTCTTCGTAAGAGGAGACCTAAACGGCCATGTGGGCGCGACTAATGTAGGTTTCGAGAGAGTGCGCGGAGGGTTTGGGTATGGTAGTAGAAATGAAGAAGGGGAGAGTGTGTTGGACTTTGCGATGGCCTACGACTTGTTGATAGCGAACACCCTCTTTAGGAAGAGGGAATCTCACCTAGTGACCTTCCATAGTGGACGACACTCAAGTCAGATCGACTTTATCCTTGCACGGAGGGAGGATAGACGCGCTTGCTAGGTTGCAAGGCGATACCTGGGGAGTGTGTTATCCCCCAGCATAAGCTGGTGGTAGCGGACTTTCGATTCCGAATACGTGTCCACCGGGACAAACGTGCCAAGACCGTGAGAACGAGGTGGTGGAACCTCAAAGGGGAAGCGACGCTGACATTTAGGGGTAGGATGCTAGGCGAGGGGCCTTGGGAAGAAGGAGAAGATGCAGATGAAATGTGGCTAAAGATGACAACATGTGTACGGAAGGTGGTTGCAGAAGTACTTGGTGTGAGTAGGGGAGACAAGCAGAATGCGAAAGACACGTGGTGGTGGAATGACGAGGTGCAAAGGGCTATTCAAGAGAAGAAATAGTGTTTCAAGCGTCTCCACCTTGACAAGAGTGCAACCAACATTGAGAGCTATAAAATAGCGAGGAGGGCTGCAAAGCGTGCCGTTAGTTTAGCGAAAGGTCAGGCCTATGATGACCTTTATCAGCGTCTAGGCACGAAGGAGGGAAGAAGGACATTTATAAGATAGCTAGGATTCGGGAGAGGAGACAAGGGACATCAACCAAATCAAATGCATCAAGGATGAGTCGGATCGGCCACTGGTGAAGGATGGGAAGATCAATGACAGATGGCGAGAGTACTTCCGACATATTGTTTAATGGGGAGAGTGAGGGTCCTACCCTGGAGTTGGTTGACTCATTTGAGGATACCAATAGATGATTGGTGAGGAGAATCCGAGAGGCAGAGATCGGAGAGACTATGAAGAGGATGAAGGGAGGCAAAGCAATGGGCCCTGATGGTATCCCCATTATGGTGTGGCGATGTTTGGGCGCCAGAGCGTTAGTATGGCTAACTAAGCTTTTTAACCTCATCTTCCGGTCAAACAAGATGCCTGATAAATGGAGGAGAAGTACTTTAGTACCGATCTTCAAGAACAAGGGTGATGTTCAAAGCTGTAGTAACTACCGTGGGATTAAATGGTGAGCCATACAAAAAAAATAAAAAAAATAAAAAAATGGTGAGCCATACGATGAAGCTCTGGGAGAGGGTTATCGAGCATCGTCTACGACGAGTGACGAGTGTGACCCAAAATCAATTTGGGTTTATGCCTGGAAGGTCGACCATGGAGGCGATTTTCCTAATACGACAGTTGATGGAGAGATATAGGGACCAAAAGAAGGACTTGCACATGCTCTTTATCGACCTTGAGAAAGCTTATGACAGAGTACCGAGGAATGTCATTGGTGAGCCTTAGAAAAGCACAAAGTCCCATCTAAGTACATTACCCTCATCAAGGATATGTACAAGGATGCGATGACGTGTGTCCGAACATGTGGGGGCGATACCAGCGACTTCTCAATTAAAATAAGACTACACCAGGGGTCAGCATTGAGCCCTTATTTATTTGCCTTGGTGATGGATGAGGCCACAAGGGACATACAAGGTGATATCCCTTGGTGTATGCTCTTTGCTGATGATGTGGTGCTAGTTGACGAGAGTAGGGCATGGGTAAATAGGGAGTTGGAGTTGTGGAAGGACACGTTAGTGTCGAAAGGCTTCAGACTTAGTAGGACGAAGACCGAGTACATGACGTGCGCTTTCAGCATGGCTACTCATGATGATGGTGACGTTAGCCTTGACGGGCAAGTGGTGGCCAAGAAGGAGATTTTCCGGTATTTAGGATCGATGCTACAAAAGGATGACGACATTGATGAAGATGTTAGGCATAAAATTGCAGCCGGTATGTTGAAATGGTGTCAAGCTTCGGGCGTTCTCTGTGATAAGAGAGTGCCACAAATTGCTAAAAGGTAAGTTCTATAGGACGACGATTCGCTCGACGATGCTATACGGTGCTGAATGTTGGCCTACAAAAAGACAACATGTCCAACAATTAAGTGTAGCAGAGATGCGGATGTTGCGATGGTTTTGTGGGCACACAAGACGGGATAAAATTCGAAATGAGGATATTCGAGATAGGGTCGGGGTGGCTCCAATTGAAGAGAAATTGGTTCAACATTGGCTGAGGTGGTTCGGACATGTCCAACGGAGGCCTCCTGATGCACCGGTGCGTAGGGGAGTTCTACAGTGGGCCGATGTTGTTAAGAGAGGTAGAGATCGGCCTAAACTCACTTGGGAAGAGTCGGTTCAGAGAGACCTTAAAAATTGGAATATCTCCAAGGATTTAGCGGTGGATAGGAGCGCTTAGAGGCTAGCGATCAACGTGCCGGAACCGTGACTTTTGTTCCTTTCTCTTTTGCTCCAATCTCTTCCTTTTGTTTTATTTTTGTTTTGTTTTGAGCTTTTTTTTTTTTTACCACTGTTTCTATTGGGTTTCATCTCTAGCCTACCCCAACTTGTTTGGGACTAAAAGGCTTTGTTGTTGCTGTTGTTATTGTTGTTGTTTGTAAAGAAATTATTTGATACAGTCGGGCCCAACTAAACAATGTGAATGCATGAAAGTAATATTAATTGACATGATATCAAAGCAAGCACACCATAAGAAGACTTGTATTACCTTGGTCGTGAGATACTTGGTTGTGATTGGGTAAGATGACCAGAAGTGTTTTAATAGTTCCTGGACTGAGGTCCAATGCTGTAATACAGAACCGTCATTTCTGTCAGCACCATATAAGAGAAAATATATGATATAATAAATAGAAACACAAAGTTTTTGCATAAACTCCAAGTACTGGAATGAGTAAAACTCACATGCAAGAGTTCCTCTTTGGTAGCTTTCGGTAAACTATCCAGGAGACTCTCGTGTGGATCTTTTCCAAGATGAAACTTGCTTCCAGAGATTTTCTGATTCAACTCATTGAGAACCTATATGTAATGACTCCGAAGTTAAAATTCCGGCAATTAACAATATTCAAAGGGATAATCACAAAAATAACCCCCGAGGACTAGTCTAATCAAACAAAATTCCAATTATCTACCGATGTCCTCTTAAAATGTTACCAAAACACACACCTCATTGAGATCTGCATTACCATTGCGAAACCCGATAGCTTTAGTTGGACGGCAGAGGGCGTGTAATTGTTTTTTAAGATTATTTTTAAATAAAAAATGAATCATTTGGCCTACAATATCCTAAGGCCAACTAGCCAGCCAGGTAGGCCATGTAATGGGCAATTAACGAGGATGGGAGTTTTGCGGAAGAATTAATATTCCCGAGTCTGCCTAGTGAGTTCTTCAAACACTGGTATGAACGAAAAAAGGGAACCTTCCCAACCAACGGTATCAATTTTGTAGATGGAACATATATCAAATGGGTATTTGGGTTCTTGAACTTTTTTCGAAGAATAAGGTAATTAACCCCTTCTAAAACGAAACACTTCTCTCTACATAAACTTTGTCACAGAACATTCAGATATATAAACGTAAAAGAGAAGGATTAAACACCTTAAGAGCCACCTCTTGATACAAAATTGGCTCACTCAACCCCGTGTCTCTGATATTAGATATGTGATTCCTTAAAGAACCATAAGCTGCACGTGAGCTCACATGGGATTTTAAAGTTTTTGCACCTAAATCAGCATCCCCCAATGCCTTTAATGCATTAGCCTGTTGAGAATCAAAGTAGTCTCGTGGGTCCTGTTAAAGTAAACCAGTCATGTAAGAAATCAGGTCATGACCTTAAGAGCACTTAAAGAGGCTAATGTAGTATATTAAAAGTCGAACACGGCCAAACCTTGATACTAAGTGGCGCGACTGCAGGATCTTTAGGTCCCTGAAGATCCTCAATTGCTGCCAGTCGGGAAATCCTGTCAGAGAGCTCTCTCTTTGAGTTTCTCTTGGATAAATCATCGGACAATTCAGCTGCAAATTAATGAAAGCATCATAAGGCAACTCACTGTAAAGATAAAACGGGGAATAAGCAACATTTGTGTCTGGTATGATAAAAAAGTTCTCTGACCCTGTTTTGACCTGGCAAGGGCTTCAGCAACAGATCTTGTATCTCCCAGCTCGACGTCTATCCTCAGATTAGTGGCATGAAAGAAGAAAATGATATATTGATATATATATATATATTATCAAAAAAAGAAAATGATATATATAATCAAAATTAACAGTAAGGATAACTATTATTAGGTAATCACACACAGCAGACCTCTAGTTGTTTTACAGATTTCAAATACCAATTCAGATGCTTGGGAGACCTACCGACAACTCTTCCTTGAAGAACAACTGCAGCATGCTGGTTTAAATCTTGTGAGAAGGATCTTTTGTACGGTTCATATTGCGAGTCCAAATCATCTTTGACCTCATCATGAAGCAATCCATGATCCTATGTTTCGTGTAGGAAATACATAACAAGATAAATGTGTACAAATTATAACCATATCGTTGTCAAACCAAAATGTAACATAAGATCTGTTAAAACAAAGATGTCAGTTTTACAGTAACAATAAAAGTACTCATAAAAGCAGGAAACTTTAGCAGATCATAAACAATAAACACTTGTTTGCTGGAAACGTGACAAGAATTTGGAACCAAAAAAAATACAGCAAAGCAAACAGACAGCTATCTAATCGCTAAAATCATGCAAGAACCATATCCTAACAATATTTTGCAAAATAGAGGTTGTGCAGCCAAGCATACCGGGAGATGTATGTAATCATCACCCATATCAGCTTCCATATCCACAGTCGGATCAACAAGCCTGATCTGGAAAAGAAAATGAATATGAATAAAATGAGAGAAGAAAAAAATAAATGAGCATATATATATATACACACACACACACACACCCCTCACAGAAGCAATTGCCACTTCATTTTACAAGTATGAACCATGGTAAATGCCAATAACTTCACATGAAACCACCTTCTTCCGAGCTTCACTTGCGAGCATATCATCGCGCTTCAGGAAAACAGCTAGCTCCTCATCTTCAGCAGCCTCTGCTGCGGCAGCAACCACATTTTTTGTACTGTGGAGGTATTCTGCCCTTGAATATTTAGTCCAGAACTCCTTTTCCGTCATCTAGGGTTCAAAAATTGGTTTTGTTATGCTACTAGTATCCATCAGTCTTTTAGAACAATGGACTTCTAATCATAGTGATATCATCATCAACAAAACTCAAAACAAGCCATGCTGGGAGTGGCGGCTAAATGATGGGACTACCAGTCATGGATACATCTTTTAGAACAATGGACTTCTAATCATAGTGATATCATCATCAACAAAACTCAAAACAAGCCATGCTGGGAGTGGCGGCTAAATGATGGGACTACCAGTCATTTCCAATACATTTAAGGGTACATGTTTGTAAGTACTAGGTAGCTCCTTGCCCTTAATAATCATTCAATACTAAATATAATCTGTAAACATCTTCTCTAAAAAATAATTCTACTTACTAAAAGGATAAGAACAAACTGGGAGGCAATTATTTGAGGAAGCAGAATCGAATTGCACGCACCAACATCTTGGAGAAACCCACTAGAAGTTACTCTTAAATTTTGGTGCCTCATATTATCAAAACAGGGCAGTGAGATACCACTACATGAGTAGATGAAGATATCTATTAAAAATTCTCTCTCTACACGCGTCACACACACACACACACACACATATCTACATATATATATATACATACATATATATATTATATATATATATTGCTTTGTTATTTTATTACCTTGTGAGGGACAAAAGACAAAAATGCTTGCCGAACTGCCGGTTTTTCAGCAAATATCTGTAAAACACAGTACAAAAGTACTCATTAAAATGTTCTGAGTACCCATGCTTAAGCAAGCTGCAGAACATAACATATCAGAAGCATTTTAAAAGTTGCACTCAGGTTAAAGCCAATATTCACTTCATGCGCTATACCAGACATGAAATCATGTTTTGTTTCAACCTAAAACTTCACATTTCTCCATCGAAGCATTGATGCAAACAATGTGGGTTAACAGCATGCTGATTCAGGGTTTCTGGATTCCTCAATATCTTACATTGCTTTACTGTGTTCAATTGTAATATATCAGAGCCTTGTCACTTCGCAAATTCAGGAGTAGCAATTCCATTGATGTCAGCTATTTCTCGGGTTAAGAAAAAAGCTTATGGCAGCCAATGCTAAAAGGAATAAGGCAGGTGCTCGCACACCTAACCAGGGAAACATATGAAGGAAGGGAATAAGAGAACAGACCTGATGAATGATCTCCGGCGTCAAGTTAAAAGTCACCCTGTTTGACTGAAACAAAAGGAAAAATAAAACATAAAAAATAGAGATGTTCAAAGAAACATCACTCTGGACACATCAAAGGTTCGAAATACGAACTTAGGAAGTCGAAATCTCACTATACAAATTAAAGCTACTTTGTAAAGATACTTTTCCCCAAACTATAAAGGGCATACAAATTAATTCAAGATTTCTGTCAAAGTGTCAATACTCATCTGCCATAAAGAGACAGCAAACCGTACGACAGGAAATGGGCATTTTATTTCAGCAACACACAAAAATTGTTTATTAGTGTCCATGAAAGCATTCTTACTTGCATCCCAATGTTTTCAAATGATTAATCATGCAGAGAAAACATTTTATTTAAAACAGCTGCTTCATTATGAACCTCAAGTTTGTTAAGTGGTGCCTTCTTTCTCGATCATGTTCATTTACTTAACTGTTCTGATCTAACATAGAAACCTTAAAGTTTCTGGACACAATCAAATCCAATTAACATTTGAAGAAAAACAGATTCTTTTGGATCAATAAATTTCAACGATGCTGGAAAGGTGTGTGGAAGTGGAACAAAAAGAAACTGATCATAAATTAGTGTAATCCAAAGCCCAAAACATATGTTTTTTACATTTAAGCATTAGAATACATCCATAATTCAGGCAAAAGGACCAAGTGAGAGCTTTTCTGTACCTGACCATCGGACAATGGTTTGACAGACCACATTTCATTTTTCAAGGCTAGGCGTTGTTTTGGTGTTCTGCCATCATTCTTGTCCAACAATTTCTGCACTTTAATAGGACTAGTTACTATCATATATTTATAGTCAAATGATATGAAGATTGATAAGGCATCAAATTTACTCAAGTAGAAGCTGAATCAAACTCACAAACTGAATATCAGAAAAATAAAGTGACGTCATAAAAAAGGTGCATGTCAAATATACTGTTCCAAAAGTTTTGAGATTCAAGAACAAAAATTAAAGCAACTGAACAGTAAAATACTCCTTTCCCTAATTTCTTTTCTTTTTTTCCTTTGTCGCCAATATTCAACAAAAGACACAAGAATTAACACATGATATGAGCGACTAACCTTCCTAGTCGCCCAAAATTCATCATCTGTCAATATACCACCAAACACAAATTGCTTGTGAAGTTTCTGTAATTCACTGCCAAATACACTTATTTAGTACAAACCCTAAGCAAGTCTCAAGATAGCAAATCCAAGGTAAAAAAAAACTAAGCATACAGGGCAAGCGTGCATGGTACTTGCACAGTACAAATGGAAGCAGGACCCCACAATGAACAACCCTAACAAAATTCATGAACGCAAAGAGCAAACCTACAAATATTTACCTTTAACCTAAACATTTAAAAATGAACATGGAGCAACAAAATCCACACAAAACATATAAATAGAAGTTAGAGTTTCTACAATATGGTGATGTTCACTTCATGTTGCCCCCTGGTTCACCAATACAGCAGGTGGGAATCGTATAACTAGATCGTCAAAGAAACCTTGATCAACTCAACTCATAAGGCAGATGAAAGCATCAACCATAACAAGAAGAATAGATAATTAAACTCCAGCTCCCGGCCGAACATCCCACCATGGAATAGCAAAAGAATTGATTGGAATTCCAAAAAGAAAGTGGTCATTTAGCAGATACCACATTCTAATTCCAAATCTCTAAGATAATGAACCAGAACTCGTTTTCAAAACATAAAGGAGGTCGGAAACAACAACATCCTATGGACTTATTCATTTGACTCCTCACCTTGTGTAGAAATTAAAAAAATTTCAGTGATCATTTCACTCTTATTTCTACAAATAAGCTTTTCCTTCCTAAAATTTATGGTGCCCAAATGTTCCTTTGCTTTTTTTTTTTAATCAAAATTTCAAATATTTACATGTAAGTTTATCTAATTGTTTCTGCACTTCTAAGAGCATGCTTGGATACAAATTAATCCAAAAAATTCCAATCATTTTTAACTCAACCACTTTTTTTAACTCAACTTTAACTCAACCCACTATCATCACTATTATCAATATAATTAAATAATACCAATCAATCATTCTTACACACAACATCAACCTTAATTTACTATTCATCTACTCACATAATTTTAACTAACCATCACATCACATATTATCTCTCCTACTTTTACATTAATTTAATTTTAATCATTTTATTTTAAATATTATTTTAATAATACCCACTAACAATTAACCATACCAACTTTTTCAAATTTAACCAAACCAAACCAAAAATCCAATCAAAACAAAACAAATTTATATCCAAGCATGCTCTAAATGTTTCTGCACAAGTAAGTTTGTCAAGAAAAGGGTTAATTATGCTGATAAAAACTTCCATTGTCATTATTTTTAAAGAGAAAATGAAAAATAAAATCCGAGGTGCATACAAACACACAAATTCATAATCTGACGGGCAGTGCAAACTCAGAGCAAAAAGACGAGATTGAAAGGCAACACTACATTCATATGACTAACTATGATATGGAGATTTGTGCCTCTATTTAATTAAACTCTATTCACCTTAGCCCATTCTTCAAGTATTAAAGAAAATCACATTGTCACGAAAGCAGTAGATGTATTTATCATTGATTAGGACTGGCACTCATTCTTCCGCATTGTGCACCAGAAGCTCCCTCACTAACATTTCATAAACCTGCTAAGCAAGAGATCTATCCAAAATAAAAATTATAAACCAGCAGTGTAAGTGAAAAGCCATCAAAGAATTGGGAAACAGTTTTATTATGTTATTCAATGTGATCAATGAGTTTTGGCTTGTAGATGAGATGATTCTAGGTGGAAAAAATCTAGCTCCTTCGAAAGAGATTGTATGCCTCTGCGCCACAGAGCATATGATTCCCCAATTGCACATTAACATTGTATGACTATGATAGCAGGATGATTTCCCTAACTCTCCATGGCATGTAGGCTTGTAAGATTAAAAATCACTTAAACACACCTACAGCAATGGAATTGATGAAAATTCCACATCAATCAGTACCAGACTGCCAAAAAATAATCTTACCCTTACCGAACCTTATACCTCTAATCATCATTCATTGTCTTTGGACCAACATTCACATATACTCATTGCATTGATGCCAATAAAACACCAACCGTGAAAAGCACAATAGACCCAAACTGAAATATGAACTAGGAAGCACAAGGATGATTATTCAGCAAAGGACGAGAAGCTATATGATAACAAGAAACATGGGTTGAGATTTCTATTTAAGAGAAAGAAACTTTGCTTACCTGTCCTCCTGCAGTAGCTTAATACGCTGCTCTGTTTCTGCTCTGCTGAGTTGTTCATTGTTGAGTGGAGCCGCTGATTTTTCAGATATTGCTCTTCCACCTTCAGTATGAAATGCAATGGCGTTGGCTGTTCATAAGTTACATATACCTCATTGTCAGGTATATATCTCCATGTAACACTTAAAGAGTAACATCTTTGAAAATAATCCAATAAAGAATCTGCCACAAACATTCAACATTTATAACTTCAAAGTTCTGACCAATATCTATATATACATACATAAAGAGAGAAAAGTGTAATAAAGACTGCTCAATCACTATTTTATCGTTACTAAATATAAACATAAATGGTTCTTCTTCTAATCTATTAATTTAGTAATATTGAAAATAATACATGTATAATGTCACAGTTAGAGCATCAGATAGTTAATATGATCATTGATATTATATTATATGAAGGTTCAGTAGTTAACTTAGAATAAAATTTACAGCCACTTTCAATAATTTACAAGCAAACTACACCTAGAACACATCTCGCAGTAACTTGAGAAAGCATCATATAACAACTGGAAGTACATTGATGTTAGGAAAGCAGGAGGTGTGAGCTATGAGAAAACTAATATATTCTCTTCCTGGCCATACATACTAGGCAGAGGTGGGTGGGGTGTTTGTCACATTTGACTAGCCTGAGGCACAAGAATCCAAAAATCACAATTTTCAATAGACAATGTTAAAACGTATTACGTATGAAAATGGGATATTGTGAATAACATGAACATCTCATGATAGTGACTCACCAACATATTCCCGACATATATCACGATCAGAAAAACTTTCAAACTCAAAAATGTAATTTTTCCCCTGCAATACCACAAACATAAGATAGTTATCTATACATACCTTCTGAACATGAAAATACTCCAATTTGAGAACATTAAGTATGAAACCACAATGATAATGAACCTGGTCTTGAGTAAGATTAAGCAAGGCCTGTTTACTTGAACCTTCCTTGGTGAATTTATGTCCTGATATTTGCAGAATGCAAATACAGATAAGTACAAACATAACAGAAAAATGACACTGTAATGGGTATGATGAAATAGTTGAATGCTACACAAGACAAAGATGAGATTTTTATTCCAGGCCTGAATAGGAAAAACTTGATTCCTAGGTTATACACAAGAATAATTTACAAGGGCATTTCATCTAGAATGCTAGATGAATAATACTTTAAGTTCCAATATTGATTGCAGAAATCAATGAAGGGCACTATGACTAGAAAGAACTACTCCTGGGACCCTACTAGACAAGGGAAGTGAAGGGAGAAAAGCCAGACAAGCCAAAGCACCTTTAATCGTCTTAAACTCCACATTCAGCTTTGTGGTTGATTGTGGATCATTTGGCATGAAAACAAATCTTTCTACGCTCTGGAGAAAGAAAAAGAAAAAGAAAAATAATTAAAAATAAAATGTTAGGTGACTATTCAGCCTCCTATATAGAACACACCAATCACCCAGATGCTCCTGGTAAGGCAACAGACCAGTTCATAACGATCAAGTCTGAAAATAAGTCACTTTGGTTGCACAATATGAATTACAGCAGAAAGGAGCTAGATATATTTGTCCACACTCCACTTAATCAACAGCCACTTAATCTATGAAGAAAATCGACTGATCCCAAGTATTAACCATACATAAATATAAGGCGTACAATGCAGGGCTATTAGTGCTACCAGTTTGAGAATGCCGGAAACTCCGGGATCCTTGACTGAGGACTTATGCTTGGCACGCTTCATCACTTGCTTGTCCGCCATGGCGGAATTAATTATATCTTCAACCGGGGAATTCTAATCTACCGGAAATCCTAACAGCAGGAATCAAATATAAATCAGAGATGACGAATGTAAGTTTTGAGCCGCCGGAAAAATAGGGTTTCGAGATGAGCAGCTGGAGCGAGGGTTCCGACCTAGCTTGCGGGGAGACTTCGCCGAGTAGAGAAGATCCGATAAGTCAGAATGTATGCTTTACGGCGGCGTCAATTCTTTCTTTCCAGTCGCCGGCGTCCAACTGTGAAGAGAGAGAGTAATTTTGGTGTGTATTTCTCAAAACCAGAGAAACAGATCAAACCACTGGTTCAATGGTTTCTTCCGATCGATTGTGAACCGATTGAACCAATATTTAATGTATTAATATTTTTAAACATATACTCCATAACATTTTATATAAAAAAAAAATTGTTAATTAAATTTTAAGTGAATCTAAAATATTCAAATACTAAAATTAACTAATAATAACTTATATATATCTATTATATATTATTTATATATTTAAATATGTATTGTTTTATTCGTTTTAAAAAATAAATATAAAAAGATTTGTTTTTTTAAATCAGGACTGGTTCAACCAGTTCGATCAGACCGGTTTTTTGCCAATTCTGGCCATATTAAACTGGTTCAATCAATTTTTCACAAATTCATTGGCAATCGATTCATTCCAGCGAACTTCGATTTTCTAAACCATGGTATTTATAATTTTGCATTCATGGACCACATGGTGTCCCTATGTCTGTGGCTCTGCACTCAGTCACTCAACAAGGACTCGTAGTTTTCTTCAACACAAATGACGGTTTTCGAACTGTGGATTGTGCCATCCAATATTTCGTGGCCCACTGTGGATTGGGTATATAAGATTGTTTTGTAGGTTATTTTCGAAAAACACAATTTTCGAACTGAATGCCAAATGAGAAGATTGTAAAAATATTGATTTGGTATCGTTCGATAAACCTAAGTATTTTTTAGAAGCTTATTAAGCAAGCAAAATATATTAAAGAGAATTTTTCTATTTATTTACTTCTAAATTAATTAAGTTCCTAGTATTTATATTAATTAAAATATAGGGTATATATTTATTATAGTATATATTGTGGAGTCTTAATCCTTTAGAAGAAAGATACATAATATATGTTTTATACATTCACTTACTATATATGTCACTTGCATTAATGAGTTTCATTCTATGTCATAATTAGTTTTTTCTTTCTTGTAGGATAGGAAACTAGTGTGTATTCCGTGCGATGCACGGGTATATAAATTTGGAGAATATTATAGTTTGACATGCATTAGGATATATGAGAGTTTAATACATAAGAACATTATTCATCATAAAATGTTTGTCACTAAAAAAACTTATATTATTAAAAACTTCTTTGTACACGACATTATGAGTTTGATTATTGGGTAACTCGTTGTGAGGAGCACAGGTCGACTTAGGCCGAACGCGGGCTGCACAAAGGGCTGCGGAAATTGGGCCTCAACTGGGCTCCCTTGCTAGACTTCTCTCCTAGAATGCGGATGCTGATTGTTGTCGCAAAAAAATTGCCCCCACGCTTGGACAGCTTTTATAATTTCCAACTATATTATAAATTATATTTTATTTCAAGTTTAACTTTTTCATTCATATTTTATGTAGATAATTATTTTGCATTCTCAGCTATACTAATAAAGTGTATGTTTAATTTGAATCGTGTAACTTCCTCAATAGTGAGTTGAATAATTTATAGATAGAAACATAATTTAATGATTCCCTCTAATTTCTCTCTCCTCTCCTTTTTTCATATTCCATAGTATTTCACAAATTTTTCCAAATAAAACAAAAAATTACATACAACAATTATTAGGCTGACCATCAAATAAATCAAAATAAGACTGTAAATAACAATATAAATAACAAAAGGGAAAAGAAAAAAAGTAGAATAATTCAATAATTGTAGTATATATTAATTTTCAAAAGATTGCATATAAATTTACTTATATATGTATATATGCTAATATTTGGCCAATATCAAACTAAATTTTGGCATGAAATTCAAACAAATCATTATTTATCTTGCATATGCAACAAAATTAGTTTATTATGGAATATATGGTTGAATGCGGATTATATGGTTGGAGAGAGAAGGTGTATTTTGAATAGTGAATCCCTTCATATTAGGGATTGTTTGGTTCTTTAAATCCTATCAAAAAAATTCAATTTTTTTGACCAAAGAAATTAAGAAAAAAATATTATCATTAATGGAAACTAATTAATGATGTCTGAATTTGACCAAAGAGTTGACTTGGCAATTTTGAAAAATAGTAAATCTTATTATTATTATTATTATTATTATTGTTATTATTATTATTATTATTATTATTATTATTATTATTATAGATTCTGATTATCAACTTTACGTGGTATTGATATAGATCAGTTTTCAAAAATTTGGAGACACATACGTGATTGTGTTTTACTTTGACTAATCTTAAAAGAAGATCAAGCACGTAGATTTTTATTTTTGGACATACATAAGTGACTTGATTGCAAACGTTTTTTATGGTAATATCAGGGAACATTGTAAACAATATAATTTTTAATTTATTAAACAAAAAAAAATCGATATTAAACTAACAGCTGATTCTAAAATCTATTAAATTATAGAATCCAATAAAAGGTGGATTCTTTTCAACCAATAGATGACATGTTTGCAATAAGACTCTGAATATTATTGTTTATCAGGAAAAGAAAAAAAAAATTGTTAAGTCAAAATACTCATAATTTGTTAACATTTTAAGTATATTATTATATAATATTTTCGATTTTCAGAATAAATTATCGTAATAATTTATATATTACCGTATTTAACATTATACGTATTGACACCGTATAAAAAAAATCTTATCAACAAATAATGAGTTTCATATCATATCAAATTCAACTCTACGTGGAATTGATATGGATTAGTTACCAAAAATTTGGAGACACATATGTCATTGTGTTTTACTTTGACTAATCTTAAAAGAAGATCAAGCACGTGGATTTTTTTTTGGATATACATAAGTGACTTGATTGCAAACATTTTTTATGGTAATATCAGATAACATTTGAAACAATATAATTAAACAAAAAAAATCGATATTAAGCTAACAGTTGATTCTAAAATCTGTTAAATTATAGAATCTCAATAAACGGTAGATTCTTTTCAACCAATAGATGGCATGTTTGCAATAAAACTCTGAATAATATTGTTTATCAGAAAAAAAAAACGGTGTTAAGTCAAAACACTCACAATTTGTTATATAATTTGCCAACATTTTAAGTATATTATTATATAATTTTTTCGATTCTACTTTTAAATTAAAAAAGATATTTTATATTGACATAAAGTACTCAAAATAATTTAGAAGGGTAAAGCGTGTGTATAAAGTATTAGTACTTATCTCTCTTCTTTTTTTTTTAAAAAAAAATATGGATATTTAAGTCGATTAGGTATTTTTTTTACAATAATATCTTTATTGCTTTTTTTACAATAACATCTCCTGTAATATATTCTTTTTATTTGTTCCCATAATTTTAGTTTGATTAATAAATATAAATCCCTTCATAATAGGAGATTTTGTTGTTGAATATAATTAATATAATTTTGAATTTTTCAAGAAAAATCACGCATAACGCCGCAATTGTAGACCAAAAAATTTGTTACATTTAGAAAATATTAAATGCTTTAAACCATGGATAAAGGAAGGCAACACCGCAATTTTAGACCAAATTCTCCTTACATTTAGAAAATATTAAATGCTTTACAACATGGATAAAGGAATGAAAAAATCTCGTAATAAAAAAAAGTTACCATTAAAGGGAAGCAATTAATGTCTTGACCAAAATTGACTTGCCATTTTTAAAAAATTGTAAATCGTTTTATATATATATATATAGATAAGTGACAAAGACTATGAAAGGATGAGTCATTCATACATACAGAATTCTGGATGTTCTAGAGATGATAAAATGAGGATTTAGAAAGATTCATCGCAAGATTTTTAAGATTTGGAAGATTGTCTATTTTAGGAAAGTCGTGTTCTCACACTAGTTTGGAAACACAAAATCTGCATTGGAAACTCAATTATAAAGATCTCCAAATCACATACACGGAATGAATCAATTTAGAAACAAATTGACTCTTAAAAGGAAAAGGAGAAACTCGTGAAGACTCCTCACCTTAAAGAGATTGTATATAAGTCTATTCAAACGATCAACTGAAGAGAGTTGTTGCAATAATCAAGTTCATCATTAATCAGATTCAATCGAGTGTTTGAGAGTTTTTTTATTCTTTTTATTTTGTTCGTCTTAACACTTCATCATTCTTACATTGCTGAAAAACTGAGCTCGTTTAGTTTCTGTTTCTTTTACAAACACTTTGAGTGCTTAGGAATTAAGTGATAGAGATCCATAGCTATATTTGAAGTTCACGTGTTTGTGACTAGCGAAATAATTGATAGGATCGGGTATAATGTTGGCTAGGCTAGGAGGGAGTTTGAGTCGAGTAAGTCCAAGCTTACTTTGTGCGTGCAAACTAATCTATCAATGAAAGAGCTCTGAGAGTAGTGGGACGCTCCCCGAAGACATATTTGTTTTGATATTTGTGATTTCGCAATTTATTTCTCTGTTTTGCAACAAAATCTTATTAATGTTGCAACATCACACTGCATACTCTATACTCCCCAACCCACTATTGATAGTAAAGTAATAAAAATAAAAATAAAGCGGGTCCGGACCATTTGTTCTTGTTATAGACTTCTAGTCCCCAAAGCTATTATTGCTGAAAGAACTCTCTTGATGTAGGGTCACACTCCCCAAGTCCAACCCCATAATATAATAAAAGTTGAATCAAAGCTTCTTCAATCTTGCTCTATATTTATATTTCATTTCAAAGTAGTGCGAAAATCTTGTTTCAATGTTGCAATACATTTTCGAACCACTCTAAAGATGAACATTATTGAGCTACATGTAATACAGTACTATTCACCGCGCTATAATTTTTTATCTTCAAATTTTAGTTATAATTTAAACTTTTGATTTAATAGTTGTATTCAATTTTTTTGTATTAATATATTTCATGCAAAGTAGTAAAACGTAACGCGAACGTCTGAAAACAAAAGTTAAATTTTGGCATCATCTACTCTAAAGTAGAAAAAACTCTACAACATAATAAAGGACCGGAGATAGAGAGGGCCAGGGCTCTTGAAACAACATTCACCTTTTATCCATAACAAGCAACATTCACCTTTTATCCATAACAAGCAACATTCGTTTGTATTCTTTACATCTTACACTGTAGTTCCTTCTCTGTACAAATCTACCAAACTATATATACACATAGGAACCAAGATTCAGCTTTCCCAGAATCTCATAAAAATCAATCACTACCCAAACACACACAGAGACAAACAATCCAACATCCCACACACACATACCAAAGAATATAGCTAATCTGATGATTATCACTCAGAAACCTTTCCAAGTGACAAGAATCTCATTCAACACTTCACCAATCAAATCCCTGTCGGCACACTGGACAAACAAATTAAACTCGTCCCGAATCTCAAATATCTTCCTGAACCTCACCAGGTACCTCATGCATCCATCCTTGAGCTTCGGCAGCTGGTACAGGCTCGCGTTCTGCAGCCTCTCGAGCACGTTCTTGGTGTCGATGTCCTCCAATAAGCTCTCGTGGCACGCGTCTTTCAGGTCTGACATGTCGTACTTGTCGGCTGCCCGGAGCAGGGCCAGCCGGTGGGCCGAGAACTCGTCGGGCCCAATACTGCCGTACATGTAGTGGAGCAGGGCCCGGCAGGCCTCGATGGACATGTCCGGGAGATCCACAGCGGAATTTTCCTTCTCCCTGAGATCGTGGGAAAACATGCTGCGGAACACAGGGGAACGAGCTGCGAGGACTGCGCGGTGGGCCCGCACGGACCCGTCGGAGGCGTTGATTTCGATGTCCGTGTGGATACCTTCCGAGAGCATCCGGCCGAGGCATGTTAGGGCCGTCTGGTCCGACTTGACCTGTGTGGGGCCCAAGCTCCAGATCGAGCGCGGTTCTGGGCCCTGTTTGGATTCGATGAGGATGGGTTTCTTTTATGATGGTGTCGTTCGATTTTCAACTCGAAAAATGAAGTAGATATAGTTGTTTTTGCAGCTATTTTTTCAGATTTCTAGTATGAACACACACCCACACACATACACATTCTAAATTCATGATTCTGGTTTTGATTCGACATTTACGAAAAAAAGTGAATTTACGGCGTTATTCAACTCTTACATAACTGCAAATTATTCATGAGCGACACTTCTTACACAAGCTGACAAGCATGAGTTCTTTTGCAACACACTCCCAAGAAACAGAGAACAAATGAAGAATATGTTGTTAATCAAAAACTCACTTCATGAACAAGAGAGATATGCTTACTTCTAATAAGGAACCGAATAACTTACATCTGGGGACGCGATTTTAAGATCGAGGAACTCGATGTCGATGATGAACTTTCCGGTTAGCGGAACCTCAATAGCCCAAACAAAATCATCGTTGCTCTTGAGCTGCTTATCCGTCACCTCTGTATGTGAAAAACATTCTTACATTCCTTCTACACACCGTAACAAAAACACGAAAACCTCGTGCGGCTAGCTATATATGTAGTGAAGATTAAGATAAAGGTACCTGGATGTACCAAACACCTCCGATCGCCCACAGCCGACACCAATTTGATCACAAATGATGCAATTGGAGGATATTCTCTTGTCAGATTTGATATCACCGGGTACAGCTTAATAAACAAGATCCGATTTTTCTCCACCGACAAATGCCTTCATATCCAAATGACAGACAAAAAAAACAAGGTAAAAATTACAGCAAGAAAGAAGGCAACTGATAAAATCTGATAAAATTACAACAAAAAACAAATGAAACTGACCAATTCCACATGCCCATCGTGAAAGGATCGGATTTCCGGTAAGTGCAGGAGGCGAGGTTGTCGATCCGCCACTGGGCGAGGCGCGACGTCGTATCGACCCTGTACGCGGACTCCGTCATCCTGCTGAAGGCGAGCGCCGCCGTGATTTCATGGATACAATCGAGAATCCCGTCCAGGAAGAACTGATCGCCGTACTTTCCCAGGTTGCCCGGCTTTCACCCTCTTCCTCATATATTTTTATACGATTTTTTTTTTTTTTTTTTTTTTTTTATGTGATTATAGAACACCTATCTTGGTTCAAGATTTGGGTTTTGTGTGGAGTCGAGCAATGGGTTTTCTGATGAGCGAGGCCCAATCGGTGGGTAAAGGTCTCCGGCACGCAAGATTGTGTCTTGATCAATCTTTACGCCATTGATGGGGAAATTGTGAAGTTTTCTTGTGTGGCTTACACTGTGTGTGAAAGAGATTTGATTTGTTGGCTTACACTGCTGCACTTCATGTTGGTGTCTTATTTAAAGGAGAAAATTTGAGTAATACTTTTGTGAAGTTCTCCGTTAATTAAATAATTCTATACATTGAGAGGGAAGGAATTTATGTTTTATTCGACTTCCAAGCAAAGAATCTGTTCTCTTTTCTTGCCCTTTTTTATCCATGAAGACAATAAATATATTTTATGTTTTTATGTCCTCCACTCTATAATTTGCTTTGTGCTTGTATAAATCACGTTATTTACGTTGCTCTGCTACTCACGGTGGGCATATGTTAATATGTTCGTACATTGGTGATGTTAATATGTTCAAAAGAAATACATCACCAATGTGTACATGTCACATAAGCGGTAGACATATTAACGTGTGCATACCATAGGTACGGGAACATTACTGTATTTACGTATGGCCATGTATGGTATATTTGTAATGGAAATCGTAAGCACTTGTTTACCTCAATGTTTTAAATACAGGATTTTAAATTGACTTCGAATATTTCCTTTATTTTTATTTAATTGAGTTCATTGTAGATCAGTTGAAAAGAAAACAATAAAAAAAAAACTGACTTATTTATAAGTTTCTTTGTGTTTTGATTGTTAAATATTGAGTTAGATTTAATAAGATTTATTTCTTTATTTAGTGTAGGAACAACGCATTTGGGATGCTTTGCCGCGCCTATTGGCTTCGAGGGCGATTTACTCTTCCTCTCGACCACGTTGGGTGGTCGGAGACCTTGGCACGGACCATTTTTCGGCCGAAGTCCTTGAAAACGCATTTCGACCTCCCCATCCCGGGTGTTGTTTCCATCGTTCGAATGTTTAAACTAGGGAGAATCATCCGTGAGTCCGGTGGATTCCAATGTATCGAGGGTTGAGGGCAGCAATCCGAGCCCTAACGTCAAGCAGCCGACTACCTCCGCTCCTGAGCCAACTCCAACTCCTCCGGACGAGTCGACTTCTGAGGCCAACAAAATTTCAGATGTTCCCCAGTAGGTTTGTATAAAAATGTTGTAATTTTTTTTTTCTTTTGAAGTTGTTGATGATTGTAATCGACCTTGTAACTCATTTGACATTAAATGAAAATTTTATTTTTGTTTCCTTATTTGTGTGCTTCAATGCCAAATGAATCACCGATTTAATCAACCTACCACTGGGGTCTTCCGTTGTTAATCTCACAACAATATTGAGTAATGAGTATTGCACCAAGTAAATTACCAGTTTAAGGTCTTCCAGTAAATTCTACCATAACATCGTAATGGAAATTTCACCAAGTAAATTAACGTTTGATCGTCCTACCACTAAGGCCTCCACAGTTGGCTACGCATTTGAAAATTTTGTGGTTTTGGCCTTCCACTTATGATGCGCAATTTGCAACCCCCTTCCCCCCTCCTTTTGAGGTCGATCCCTCATTATGGTTTGAAATGAGTGTTGGTCCTTCAGTTTCCCGTTCTTCCACCACCCGAACTGAAGGCCTTAATCATGACGGATTTTTCCTTGAACACTTTCTCAACCCACCTCTTGGGTCGTTCAAACGAGCGACCACCCAGCTCAAAGGTCTTAGTCATGGTGAATTTTGCCTTGAACACTTGCCCAACCCGCCTCTGGGGTCGTTCAAACAAGTGACCACCCGGCCCAAAAGCCTTAGACATGGTGGATTTTGCCTTGACCACTTGTCCAACACACATCTGGAGTCGTTCAAGAAAGCGACCACCCAATCCGAGGACCTTAGTCATAGTGGATTTTTCTTCGACTTCTTACTCAAATCTACCACCCAGCTCGGAAGTCTTAATCATGGTGGCCTTTTAAAACCAAATGTTGAAATGTCATTGATGTCATTGCAAACACACCAAATATAACTGTATAGATTAACATCGCATATCCTTATTAATAGTGTCACAGGTATACCAACGAATTACATCGATGTTAAAAAAAAATTACACATATATTTTTCAGATTCAAGATGTTCTATGACCTGGGCAGAGGCATCCCATCATTGTGTGCGGCTCGCATTCGCTGTTTATAGGCCGCTACTCTGGTTGACGCATGTTTCCTTATTTTCGATTGTATCCAAGGCTGCTCGAAATAACTCTTTATTCTGCTCCTTATCATACATGGTTGATCTTTGGGACTCCAGCTCAATCTCGGCAGGGAACAACGCCTCCATGCCATAAGCGAAGCTAAATGGGGTTTCTCATGTGGTCGACCTCGGGGTTGTACTATATGCCCAAAGGACGGACGTTATCTCATCGATCGATGTCCCTGAGGCCTTCTCTAGTCTGGTCTTCAATCCATTCAATATGATTCGATTCGTTACTTCGACCTTCCCATTAGCTTAGGGGTGTGCAACTGACGCGAAATGTTGCTCGATTTATATCTTCACACCACGACCTAATCTTCTTGCCATTGAATTGTGTCCCAATATCCGAAATCAACACCTTAGGTACCCCGAACCTGTAACAAATATTGCTATACAAAACATGTACAACTTTGTCATCCATGCTCTTGGCCAACGACTCAGCCTCTTACCGTTAACTACAGAGATTCACACCTTACATATCTCGAGCTCTATGTGATTAATAGAAACAATCTTGGGTGGTGGTGCAACCTCGACCTGCTGAGGGCAACTATCTACGAGGTTTTTGAGCTCGTCTTAATGAACATTTCCTTTTGGCTCGTCTATTATGGATTAGAGGGACCTAGTGGCTATGGTTGCGGTGTCGAAGGTCAGAATAATAGCAAAAGAGATGGTTAAATAATATGAAATGGTGTTGTGTTTTCCACTATCATGTGAAGAGTTAGAAAATTCAAGTGAGTTATATCCCAAGTTAACTAAATAGATAAAATTGGATGTCGTACGAGAAAAGGTTACATACACATTATTAGAATATTCACTTGTGAGTTGTCCACATTATTTATATAGGAAAACTAGGCCTAATTTATAAGTCTAATGGGTTACTCGTTCTACCACCAATTGGTTTTGGGATGGAACCTCACTTGGGCTTCATCTGGGCTTTCTCTATCTTGGTGCGTTTCATCTGCATGGGACCGCACCCGTTCTTTTCCCCGTTTCTTACATGGTCCTTCATCCTCGTTTCTTGGCATACCTGTTTCCCAGCCCATTTGGGCTTGGCAGCCGACTCCATATATGGGGTTGGACTCCTTATGAAGGACTCACAAGTGAGGTGGCGTATTAAAATATTAACTTGTGAGTTGTCCCACATCGTTTATATAAAGAAAATAGACCTATTTATAAGTCTAATGGGCCATTCCTCCTACCACCAATTGGTTTTGGGATGGAACCTTACTTGGGTTTCATTTAGGCTCTCTATGTCTTTGTGCGCTTCATATACGTGGGACCGCGACCATTTTTTCCCCCGTTTCTTACACCCATAATGTTGGTGTGAATCATAAACGAGCGATTACCAAGTATTTTCAAAGGATGCCTGATGCAAATATTTGTTCGTTGTTGGGAATGTTTCAGTGTACGAATATTCAATGAGTAAAAATGACAAAAACAGTAAATGGAGAAGAAGACATGCTTTTATAGGAGGAAAAAAAGACAGTTGAAGCGACGTGTCGTGAGGAATGTCGATCTACGAAAGGATCAACGACCCCTGTTGACAGCATGGAGCAGGGTTTTTCGAGGCGTCACTAACAACCACGCTAATCGAAGCGTAGTGTGTTTAGTATGCCAATGGAAAAACATATAATGGACCAAGTCTTAGCAATTCAACCCATAACACAGTGGGGATTGAAGATCTGGGTGGATGAGTAAGGCTAGATAATAAAGCACCATTAATAGCTCGGGAAATCGAGTGAAGTGGCTAACCCAGTTGACGAGTGCAGGGGTAGTTTTAACTCGATGTCAGGGCCTGACTTCGTCAAGGGGCTCAAAGTAGCAGCTCGAGGTACGACTCCCATATGATTGTGAGGAAGCGAGTTGAGCTCATCTAAGAGCTCGATTAAATGAGGGGTCGTCACGATATGGAGGTTGTATAAACGACCTAGAAAGGAATGTGGTTGTAGGGTCGTGAGGTTGGTGCGATGACCTAAGGACCCTCAAACCATGGTAAACGAGAAAACATAGTCCTGTTTTGATAGTAAGTGTCTCTCGCTTGAAATAGAATATCTCAGAGACGTGTCATGTTAGGAAATGAGATAGGGAATATCTCTTTCCTAGTCATGAGGTTATGTGCGTAAGAAGATAACTTTCTTATAAAAGAATGTTATTAGATTCCTTAACATATAATGTGTAATACATATTTTACATCACAGTTTATATTACTTCACAAGTGAGATCCAACTAGAACATCGAATTTTTTTTCCTTCAGTACCCCTCCCAGCGAGTTTTGCAAGTCACGGAAGCTCAAGCCAAAGGATGATTTTGGCATCATCGGTCCGAACCCGAGTTATAAATAATTTGCACATCACTCATACTTAAATAACTATTATTTTTTAATATAAACTAATCTTGATTAATAAAGGGAGTACGATTTGGAGAGAGACACAACACATAAAGAAACTATATAATGAATATAATAATTACGCACAAAAAATATAAAAAGGACAATTTAATTTTCATCATCATCTTCATTTTTTTAAGGGTTGTCTTCAAGTTGAGTGCAGCTGAGG